GTTGATGATATGCTGATAGCTTCCAGGAGTTAGACAGAAATTGCGAAACTAAAGACTCAATTGAACAGGGAGTTTGAGATGAAGGATCTTGGTGAAGCAAAGAAGATTCTAGGCATGGAGATATCAAGAGATAAGAAATTGGGGAGGCTTTCTTTGTCCCAGAAAGAATATCCGAGGAAGGTACTAAAACGTTTTGGCATGAATAAGAAGTCAAAACCAGTTAGTACACCTCTTGCTCCTCATTTCAAGCTCGGTGCATCCATGTCACCTAAGGATGATGCAGAACGGGAATACATGTCAAAGGTTCTGTATGCAAGTGTTGTTGGTAGCTTAATGTATACAATGGTGTGTACGAGACCCGATATTTCACAGGCAGTTGGGGTTGTGAGCAGGTATATGCATGATCCTGGAAAAGGAGCATTGAGAACCTGTGAAATGGATTCTGCGGTATATTCTGAACACCGTAGATGTTGGTTTGGTCTTTCAGCATGACAAACAAGATGGTCACTGTGTAGTTGGGTATTGTGATTCAGACTATGCAGGTGATTTGGACAAGCGTCGATCAACTACTGGTTATGTGTTTACATTTACAAAAGCACCAGTCAGTTGGAAGTCCACCTTACAGTCAACAGTGGCTTTGTCTACTACAGAGGCAAAGTATATAGCAGTTACAGAGGTTGTGAAGGAGGGAATTTGGCTTCAAGGGTTGTTTGGTGAATTGGGAATGGAACAAAAGCACATCAAAGTGCATTATGACAGTCAGAGTGTTATTCATTTAGCAAAGAACCAAGTTTACCATGTAAGGACGAAGCACATCGATGTTCGATATCACTTTGTACGAGAGATTCTAGAAGAAGGTGGAGTCATAATCCAGAAGATTCAGACCACTGAGAATCATGCTGATATGTTGACAAAAGTGGTAACTGCGGTCAAGTTTAAACATTGTTTAGACTTGGTCAATATTGTTACAAATTGAAAGATGAATTTGCAGACACTACTGAAGATTGGATTTTTAAGAGACGTGTGTGGAATTTGCCAAGGTGGAGATTTGTTGGTTTTTGGCAAATATCCCACATTGGTTTTGTATAAGGAGGAGGGGAAATTCTTTTGTTATAAATAGAGCCCTCCTCCTCCTTAGTTTATCATCCCACAAATATAAGCCTTCTTCTATATTAAAGGCTATTTGTATTCTTTCTTTCTCTTTGTAATATTTCCTCTACTAGTGAAATATTATTTTAGTAATGTTCGAGGAGGTAGGCAAAATTTTGGCCTAACCTCGTTAAATTTTGGTGTTCTCTTTTATGTCTATTTAATAGCTATTGTCGGGTATAGTTGTTGTTAATTATTGTCCTATTAAAATTACTTGTCTTGGTAGTTCTGTCTAAGGAAAGTGGGTTTTAAGAGGGACCATTATGACCCCTCCTCTTTCCTGGGAATCTACCTTAGTGTGATTTTTAGTACAATCATTTTCACACTAGTCACCTAAATAATAGTTTTCAAGGTGAATTTGTTATTATTGATGGAAATTAACCCGAATTCCACAACATATATATGCGTACACTCATCTTAAGTTTGAGTATCATTAATTGTCATATCGTACGTGATTGAGATTTAGAAAATAAATTACCTTATCGCTCGAACATGTGTACATTACTTATCTTTTTGTTCTTTCAGAAAACAACAATATTTAGACATTGGCAAGATTGATAAAATCATTATACCTAATTATTTCCACTTTTCTTGGACTATTGGATTTGAAAAATATCAAGTTATGCAGAAGGAAAAGGAAAACCCATGATTTAAACGGGACTAATGTATTTTAAGGGAGAAAAGAGAAACCATTTGTAAAATCTGCATCAAATTGCAAGCCTTAGTGCACACTAAATTTACAAATGGTGTCCCTTCATCACAATGATAGGGTGAGAAAGCAACTGTGAAAAGCTACCACTTGTTTTTTGTCCTCAGTAAACACTTTCCAAAGATAATTCTACACAAATTATGGAGAAAGCTTTTATGTTGCATCTTAGCAAATTGTTTTTTCTTTCTATTTTATCATTGTGACACAGCTCATATCTGTCAAAATATTGCATATCATTTATACAAATACATACACACAATATAATAGTAATACAATTATAGGAATTTAACATATCGTATTTATGAGGGAACATTTAACGTGGTTTTAACTTTGTTTATCTTCATAGATGAGAAGAATAATAATTTAGTATAAGCATAGTGGTCTCAAAGAATACAAATATATGATATCACATGTATCTCAAATTTAATATATATACTCAAACCCATGTATCCCGAAACACTCTTCCAATATTCCTACAAAATTCATTTTTGCAACATAAACCTCAAAAATTACAAAAACTACAAAAGAAATATCCAAAACAATTCTCTCTCGTAATTCTAATGACTAAGACCTACTCTTTATTTATGATGCTAAATCTTGGTCACTAAAAATCATTATTTTATAAGAATTATGAAATAAATTTAATCACCGAGTAACAATAAAATAAAACAATACTTTAATTTTTAATTAAAATTTAAGTTAATAATAAAAGGATATTGTTTCATAATAATAGTTAAGTAGCTATTAGATTAGCAAGGGAGATAATCGGGAAGGAAGAGCTATTGGAAGGGAATCTGGTGACCAAGAAAAAGCCATTAGGAAGGGGAATATGTGACATATTAATGCCACTAATGATAGCTTTAAGGAAAAACATAAGTTTTCTTTCTTTTTCTTTTTTTAATTAAAGAGAAAGATCATTAACTTTTCTTGCACAACAAATGATGGATAATGTTTATCCTAATATTCCTTTTTTGGTAAAGCTTGATTTGAAGCTTCCCACCCAAGAGTTTTTGAGGTGTAAATTGGAGCAAAGGACTGGTGAAGGGAATGGGTCGGTGGTGGAGGCTAATGGCTGCTTTTATATTTGTGGCATCTCATCGATACTTTCACTCCCAATGCTAATCTCTCATAAGCCATAAAGATATACGTAAGATTTTATGTTAGATGATAAATTTATAATAATTTAAAAGATGAATTTAAAATATTTTAAGAGACAAAAATATATTATCAATAAAAATTATTTAAAATATATAAAAATTTATAAAAATTATTTAAAATAAATAAAATTGGACTACCGTCCTCAATTCGATCCATTTCTTCACCACTCTCCATGGAATCGTAGGGAAGCAAGCTTTTTTCTTAGCTTTCCAAAGGTTAAACATATGGTGATCTTGAAATAAAAATATTGTATAAATGATTCCAAAGTTCTCTGTCATGCGTTAAGTTTATATTTTAATGGGTATCCTAGCATAGGTTTCAGATTTTAATTAATTTCATGTTTTTAATTAATTTAGGGTGATTATAAAATAGTATATATTCAAAAGATTCTCAATCATTTGATAACGAATTCTCAAACACACTTGTAAATGTCGTGCTCAAACCTAAAACTTATAGGAATTACAACCACCCTTAACCCTTAAAGTCGCTTGATTCGTACTAATTTTAATTAGTTTTATTAATTAGAAAGAATATGCAATTATACTTCACAAAGGAACTAGTAAAAGTAATTAATTGTATCTGATAGGCTGGCTAAATGACAGGTTTTGTAGCTGAATAATTTTCTAGGGAGTGTATGTTTCAACATTTTATATATTAATGGGAATATGCTATATATTAAATCAAAGCTAAATGTCTAGAACTAGACATCTTGACCATAAACTTTTAAATTTTACAATTCCATTCCTAAACTATGACTATCATTCTATATTAGTCCTTAAACTTTGAACATTTCAATTTTATCCCTAAACTACGACCTTCATTCTAAATTGGTCCTCAAAGTGTTTAAACATTCCAATTTCATCTCAAACTATACGTATGTACTAATCACGTCTCTTGTTAATAAAATCTTTAGGCCAAGTTATATTATTATATGTTTGAAAAAACAAAATTATGGTTGAAACTAATTACATATTTGGATGACATTGGGGATGAAATTGGAATATTCAAAAGTTTGTGAACTGGTTTAAAAAGAGGGTCATAGTTTAAGGATGAAATTAGAATTTTCAAAAGTTTAAGGACTAATTTAGAATGAGAATCATAATTTAGGAATGAAATTGAAATATTCAAAAGTTTAAGGATTAATATAAAATAAGGATTATAGTTTGAGGACATATGGTGTAATTAACCCCTTTTTTATATATAAACGTTTAACCGGGAAGAAAATTTGACAAAGAAGAGTAGTAAAAAGAAAATGATGAATATCCAAAGGGATATCAATCAATTCGAGAAAAGGTAGAGAAAATCAGGTTGAGTTTAGTTTTGAAAATTTTTCCAACTAAATCGATTTAGTTTACCTCTGAAGGTGTCCAATCCCATTTTGGGGCAGGGTCCATTAATGTGTATCCAACTCATTGAACCCAACATTATGTATTTGATTATAAATAAATTTTAAGACTTAATTAATTTAAGTCTAAATTTGACAAATATTATTGGCTCATATTCCAAGTGTCCCCACACCAACTTACAAAATAATTTGTTTTATCAATAGATTTTTCGCCGCTTTTTTAAATTTGATTTTTCTTTGATTATTATTTATTGTATTAATAATTATAAATTTTTACTTATGTTTGCCTTATATAAAATTATTTTATTAAATTTATATGTGTACTCGTTCTAGAAAATATTTTTGGATTCGATATTGAATGTAATACGTTGGGATCGTGAATAAAATACCACAAATATTATCTGAAGGCCAACTCTAATACTGGAATACATAGCTGATGTGACGCCTTATATTGTATTTTCTTTTAAAAAAATAACATATAAATATCAATATTATTAATATTTCATTTTAAAAAATTTACTGATCGAATCCAACCTAAATAACTTGACACCAAGCATGACACCAAACACTTGAAACAACAATAAATGGAGAAACCACAAGTATTACAAGCTACAAAAGAATATAAAAATTTATGCTAATAAATATTACTCTATATTCAACCCAAATAGTCCACCTCTCAAAATATGTCAACAATAAACCAGCTAAAATTGGTGCTTTACAGATGCTGATTCTTTTGCATCAATGGGATCGGCTTTGAGAAGAACCTCCGTTTCTTTTGCACCTGGGAGAACGAGAGAGGGGTCATTTCGTTTATAACAATGAAGCAATGAATAACTCTTGTAAGTCATTGTGAACCCGCTAAACGAATTAAAAAAAAGTGTTATTTTACGTAGAGGTCCTGAATTTGAAAAATTATATTTGCAACTAAAAAAAATTATGAACAGATATATCACCTGTAGGCTTTTCATTATAGCTTTGATCATAGTATTGCTTGTTTTGGATTCATCTTTCCTGTTCTTGCCACTTTTCTTAGCTTGTAAGTTTGTCAAACAACATGGGACCATCACTCTCCATTTGTCAAAACAACCGGGTGTCCTGCAATGTGTTACCTTTCTTTGGACACCCACAATCTACCATATCCGGGGGAAAAAATTATTCTCAACAAAGACAAGCATTTAGTTGAATCAAATGGCTTTTTTCTCTAACTATTCTTGTGCTTGTAATCAATTGATGGAAGGTAAGGTTTAGTGGGATACTTTGTTTGAAGGTTTCTGGTGATCAGTGGAAGAAACAGGCTTCGACTGTAAAGCTTTGAATGTCGATGATCGAGCGGACTCCCTTAAGCGCCGAGAGTAGAGAAGAAGCTGAGCTCTTCTGTCATACCCTTTGTCTGCGCCTCCAAGCTTCTGTTGAATCAGCTGTTGTTTCATAATGGTGTGATGAACATAACGGTACGGTGCCCTCCTCCGTGGTTTCTCCACACAAACGGTTACAAACACCGTCTTCCGTTCACAGCGTGTTGCCTGAAACTTATCCCGATTCGTTAGTTTGCTTCATCATGTATGAAGCTCATTAACATGGACATGGAGGGCACTTACTTGTTTGGTTGGCATGTTGTTGTTGACAACGAGAGAATTTGAGTTGGAGAAATCATGGGGAGATGCCATACTTGATGTTGCAAACCACAGATATTACAAAAGCCAATCGGAGAAAGCCGACCTTGAAATCATCGGTTGGATCGATCAACTTACCTATTGTCTTTTTTGTTGCTAAAATGGTTCCAAATATAAGAACTGTTTGATGATATTTATGCAAATTAAAGAACACCATTGATCCTGGCCATAAAAAAAAGTGAATCCCAAGCAAGGAAGTTAAGATTGGATATAGGTAAAATTTACCTATAATTAACAATATAATTAATTTGGGAGCAAAATATCATTATCATGAACAGGTGGTTGATGATGAATCATTAATCTTTTGTTGCATTGCTTTCCTCTTGACATTGCCATTCAACTTTACAAAAAGGTATACACCTAACCAAAAATATACATATAAAGTTTTTATAAAAATATAAAAACATAATGATAAAATTATCTTCAACATTTGTAAAAATGGTCAATTTACTTTGTACTGTTTTGGAGTATTTTAATCCGCCAACATTTTAATTTTTAGTCAAAACATACCATATTAAATGAAAACTAATAGTTAAGTAAATGCCAACCTATATTGTTGATGTGATATTTTCACATATGTGAAAATCAGTAGTCACTAAACGATCCAAAATAAGAATCTTTTTGTCCTAAAATAATACGTCAAGGAGCCTAAATGATCCCCAGAAAAAAATATAAGGATTAAAGTGATTATTTAGTCAAACGTTAGAAACAATTTTTTCTTAAAATTTGGAGGCCAAAATATACCAAAAAAAAAATAATATGAGCCAAAATAACTATTTAGACTCGCGAGATTTTTTTGTGATTATGCCAAAAGAAAGATGTAAAGTTTTCAAATGTTTGTGAGATATACCACTATGAATATATAATAAATAATATATTCATCAACGCCAAAATTACGCACAATGCATAACTAGGCATGTAGAAAGTAATCAGATTTAAAGTTTTGTTTCTCAGAAATACAGCACTGGTGAAAAGTTAAACAAGACATGAAGTGTTAACACAAAGAAATTGAAATTGAACTAGTTATTGTTGGAAGTGGTGTCATCTTGCCAAGTTGCTTGCCATTGCTTGTCGTAAAAGGTTGTCTCTTCAATCAGCTTCTTGATGTTATCTAAATCTTCATTCTTCCTGATTAAAAGCACTCCCGAAACAGCAACAAATAATAGAGTCTTGCAAAAGAAGTTGCCCATTTGGTCGACCACACCTACTCCAGTCAGGCTATCGACCAGATATGCCATGAAGAACCCTATCATTGCTGCACGGCCTGCATAAAAATTGTAATACCGAATCAAAATTAAACAAACCAGTAAGGCGACTACATGAGCCATAGTGTCAAATGACATACATTTGCACTAACCATTAAGCAATTCCGCTTCGGGTAGATGGAACCTCTTCATCCAGGCCCACCAAGGTATGATGGAAGTGTCAAACACTACAGGGTCGTCATTACTGGTAGTTTCAGGATTATCCTGGAGCCATTTTCTCCTCCTGACCTCTGAGGAGTTCAAGTAAGTTTGTTACAGAGAAATGAATGATAGAATCAACATATGCCTGTGTTTTCCCCTTCACTTTCATTGGTGAAGATAATATATGCAAACAAGCATATTGTTTAGTAAAACGCTGGAGACACTAACATCCTATAACTGTTTTCTCCCCAGCTAATATATGAATTCAGTGAAGAGCATATTTTTCATGGGAACTCACTTAGTTTAACACTGCAAGGGCATAAGAAACATGAGGCAGTTACACTAACAAAACACCTGTCTGGGCTTAACATCTAATCACAAAAGGATTCCTTCAGGCGTAGTCACAAACCAATATCTATTTCATTTCATGTTGGTGGTCTCCAAGTAGGGGGTTCTTTTGATGAATATCCTTCTCTATTTAGATGTTGCAGGAGCACAGGCCCACAGACACTTGTCTATTTCGACAAAGGGTTTGTCGAAATAATATTTTTTTCATTAATTCGGTTTCAAATGGGGAAGTAGAACTTGCAATGAATACAACCCATACCACCTAACTACAAAAGAACATGCATATCTAACCCTTCAGAACTTTAAGACTATACAGCCTTTAAGGCCAATCTGTTTTGAATCAATACTCAACCACTTGAACTTAATGCATATGTGAACAGGCAATTATTGAGGAAATCTACAACAATAGTAGCATTTATGTTCTTTGTACCACATCCCCATTTCAGCAAAACAAGTGAAGATAATATATGCAAACAAGCATATTGTTTAGTAAAACGCTGGAGACACTAACATCCTATAACTGTTTTCTCCCCAGCTAATATATGAATTCAGTGAAGAGCATATTTTTCATGGGAACTCACTTAGTTTAACACTGCAAGGGCATAAGAAACATGAGGCAGTTACACTAACAAAACACCTGTCTGGGCTTAACATCTAATCACAAAAGGATTCCTTCAGGCGTAGTCACAAACCAATATCTATTTCATTTCATGTTGGTGGTCTCCAAGTAGGGGGTTCTTTTGATGAATATCCTTCTCTATTTAGATGTTGCAGGAGCACAGGCCCACAGACACTTGTCTATTTCGACAAAGGGTTTGTCGAAATAATATTTTTTTCATTAATTCGGTTTCAAATGGGGAAGTAGAACTTGCAATGAATACAACCCATACCACCTAACTACAAAAGAACATGCATATCTAACCCTTCAGAACTTTAAGACTATACAGCCTTTAAGGCCAATCTGTTTTGAATCAATACTCAACCACTTGACTTAATGCATATGTGAACAGGCAATTATTGAGGAAATCTACAACAATAGTAGCATTTATGTTCTTTGTACCACATCCCCATTTCAGCAAAACAACACGGCTGTAGAACACGAAAGATAGAAACTATAGGAGAAAACTTTACCCCACTTTGAACTACCATCCCAACAAGTACCAAATATCTAACCTTTTAAAACTTTAAGAAATTATTGCCTTTCAGGGTAATCTGTAATGAATATTCAACCACTCATGCAGCTGCAGTCGGTTGATTATTTGTAAACTCACAAACATAATCGTATTTCTTTTTAGTATCATTAAGCAATAAAAATATTAACAATTGATTCAGGTTTTGCATGCAGAAATGTGAAAAAACTTACCAGCATCAATGACGGCATCCCAATCAATACTCCCTTTTTGCTCAAACTGTTTCAAGTCCCAAGTTCCACCAATCCACCTAGGGTCCTCAAACTTGCTGAAAACCTCAAATTCTGGGCTCAAAGCCAACCCGTTAGACCCAGAAGATCTCTCCACGGCCTTTTCAAGGGTGGGGTCTTCCTGGTTGAGCTTTGAGTCTTCAACGACAGCGACTGAAGCTGAAACTCCAGCTCCATTGTCTGGTAAAGACTTGGGAGTGGAAAGCAAAAGAAAGGGCCTCTTAAGAGAGAGAAAAGCAGTGGATTTGTGGGCGAAATTGGGGTTGACAGAGAAGTATGTAGAAGGAGGAGAAAACGAGGCCATTGATAGGGACATTGTTTTAGATTTTCAGTTTTGTTTTGCTTCAGGAGGCTTGGGTTTTTTATGATGATGAAGAAGAAGAAGCGACGAGTTACCCTTTTCAGTTTGAGTTCATGGCTGAGTGTAGTTTGTATGGAGAGCCACACGGTGTCTTATTTGAGGTTTTCAGCCATCCAACTATCTCACTTTAAAGTCTAAACCATTTCAAGTTTGGCACTTTGGGCTCTTTTTGTCCAACCATTTACTAAAGCTTCCTCCAGCAATTTTGTCCTTTTCTTCAACTTTATCTTATATCAAAAATGATTTTTTTCTGATATTGAACTTTCAAAATAAATTAGGGTAAAGTACACAAGTGGTCTCTTGATTATAGGATACTATTACTTGAGTCTCTCAATTATTAAAAATTACAAAATGATCACCTAACTATTCATGTGTTCCAAATTTGTCCATTTCCATTAAAAAATTGATGATCATCTGAGTTGGACGTTAATTTGTTGATCGAGATTTGATAAAAATATGATGTCGAAAATGTTTTAGATGTATTTTGTGAATCGACTCTCTGTTTACATTATGTCGTCGAGCCAGTGCTTGAAACATTATGACGTCGAATCAGTGCTTGAAAGCAACGACAATGCTAGTAGTCATCATTAAAAATATGATTATATTATATTTCAGTCATTAGGTTAACGTTCAACTAGATGGTCGTCAAGTTTTTAGCAGAAATAGACGAGTTTGGAACATATGAATAGTTGAGTAACTATCTTGTAATTTTTAATAGTCAAGAGACTCAACAAAATAGTATCGTATAGTCGGCGGATCATTTGTGTACATTATCCAATAAAATAATAGATATTAAATTTTTGTTTTTTATGAGTTAATCTTTTAATTTTATTATAAAATGAGTATCACGTATTTAACTGTTATTAAAGGGGTGACATAGCATATTAAATTAATATAGATTTTCTTATTCGATCCCAATTGTAATTAAAAAATTTATTTTAATTTTTTTAATATTTTAAATAATTATTTTTTTAAAAATAAATTTTAAAAATATATAGATTTATTTTTAAAACTGTAAAAGTATATTTTTTTAATAGTCTTTGATTACAATGTAGTATATATTCAGAATTTTTCTTAGCTATTAACAATGCATATACCCTGTTCGAACCCGAGACCTCTAGGGTGAACAACATTCCCTCCTACCAAAATTATAAAAATAGATTTTTAATTTTTAATTTAATGAATTTTTATAATTCATCAAAATATTTTATAACTAATTTTTATTTAATTATGATTACAGTTTATAATTAAAATTTTATAATTTTTAAGATCCAAAATTTTCAATTATTAAACAACAAAATCATTTTTTTCGTTAAGCAATATGATTTTAGTATTTAACCTTTTATTTAAGAAGTTTAAATATAATTTAAAAATAATACATCCAAAAATTATAATATCATGTTAATAAGAAATATCGAAACTTAAACCAAAATAATCCTTAGTTTTTAATAAAAATTGTGGTAAATTGGATTAATAATCCGTCCTCTGATCCGGTGGAGTTCGCGGAATGGGTAAAGCGGCGTCATTCCACGTGTTCAAGCAAGAGCTGGGTCGAGCGTTTCGCCCATAGAGAGCAGAATTGTATGGCTCATGATCTAGCTAGCCAGGGTATTAACAGGTCTGTTGATTTTCTCATGATTATGGAGGATCGTTTGAATTAGTTTTGTTTGCTGGTTAGTCGGTCCTATTGTTGTTAGTATGGGGCACTATTGGATTAATAATCTCATGATTATGGACTGTTTGTGTGTTTAGTTGTTGGACTCTTGTCTAGTGTGTCAGCATTTTCGTGGTTGCTGAGTTGCAGTGTTGGCAGGGCTTGGTTCTATACTGCTTCTAATGTGCTGTTGTTGGACAGTTGGATTGAAAGTACCAGGTCCCCCTCCCCCCACCCCCGGCTCCGTCCTTCCGTGAGGTTGTCTTTAAATGCAACGAGCTTTCCCGCAGCTTAGATTGGAAGGCCTGTTTTGCATACAGAGAAAGGATCATTGATGCTCACAATTTGGTCCAAGAAGGTATTGCAAGAAGTCATCACTTCTTCCTCACTTCTATTTACCCTCTCAACTCTCTCTCTCTCTCTAATTACGTTAATATTTCCCTTTTTAAAATTTCTTCATGGGATTTCCAGTTATGCATCATATACAGGTGCACAGAAGCATTAGCTAAACCATCTATTCTCGCTTGTTCGATTGGTAAAGAAACTTCTTAGGGCTGGTAACCAGGTCTTTTGGGATAAATACATCAATGGACAACCCTTCCACATTGGTGTAAATCACACACACCTAGTTTTTATCCCAAAAGTGCCTTCTCCGTTGGATTTCTCGCAATTCAATCGATCGGTTTTTGCACAGTATTATACAAGATCTTAACCAAAGTAATTGTGTCACCAACTTCTTAGGTTTCACATAAATGCCCCAAGATTTTCTAAATAACAATTATCACCCCTTCACATTCATTTCAATTTGACCCCAAAAACTTTATAGGCCGGATTATGGGCCGTGACATTATAGGTCTCCAATCCCTATCATGTGCCCTTCTTTCAACTTCCACATGATAATAGCCCTAGGGCTGCCTGGAATAGAAAAGTAGCCACTTTTCCATCCTATGGTCATGATGGCTACTTCTATACACCTTTGCATTTACCTTTAAGTTTGCTAGGGTTGTATTGAGAATGACCTTAGTGGAAAACATGGATAGTGGTCTGCTCTGCTAGTTTAGCTCAATTAAATTACCTTTTGCTCCCCTCCTAATCTTAAACATGACAAGTGTCAGAAGGTGATTGTAACTTGTAAGTGGAAGATGGTATTTTGGATGAATGGAAAATAGGTACAGTTTGTTCCAATTATCAACAGTGCCAACTCCATTATTTGCTCAAAGCGGCCGGTACTTGGCAATGGAGAGTGATCTCTGTATTTAAGCCAATAAAAAGTGGCTCCCACTCTCAATAACTAGTTGGTTTAATGAGATAAGATATTAAATTTTTTAAGCAAAGTCAGGTCTCAAGAGTTCGAACCTTGACGTTTACGAAGGGAGCAAATTGAGTTTGGAAAGTCGTTTCCATTAAATCTCTGTAAAATTCAGTCTGAATTACTTGGTCAATAGATTAAATACACTTGATTAATTAAAAAAAATTGGCTGTCACTATCTCAAATACTCTTTCCCTCTATGTTTCTGAAATATCAGACTTAAAGTTGGAATTTATCTGGATTTGTAGATATTTTCTAGCTTCTCTGATATGTTACTTTACTGCTGCTATGTGAATTGAGCTGAACAAACAGCAATGGTTTCCTCAAACAACTGAGAGTAAATAAAATTTTAATCACCAAGGCTGGAAAATGGAAATGGAAATATCTCAGTTGCGAGCAAATCCCTGATCGAAAGGACATGGCATTTTCATATATATATGTTAAATGCCTTGGTATGAGTCAAAATTAAAGTAAAAAGAGAGAGATGAAAGTAGAAAAGAATGAAATAAGAGAAATCAGATAACTAAAAACTGATCCAAGTGACTAGATGTTATTCTAAAACCACGAGTAGCCTAATCTCTGCCTATGGTTCTTTTTCATTGGTATTTACAACCCAATGTGCTGACATTCGCCTGACGGAAGAACAGCAAGAAGTGCCACCTACCACGCTCCACTTCACCAATAAAATATTTCAACTTCATTATTTTTAGTTATCCACAATTATCCTATTGAAAATTCACACTTGTTTGCATAAATTTAAACGTGCCTAGACTTTGGAAAATAATCGTTCAAAATCAATTTGTTCTACTAAGTCGAGGCAGCAAATGGAAAAAAAAGAAAAAGCAATGAGATTTCTCAACCCTAATATTTGAAGTCTTTAACTTGAACTTCTCCACCTCAAAGTGACAGTGGTCGTACTGAGCTTAGGTCGCTTACCACTTTGACTGTCATGTTAGTGCGTTAGAATATAGCTTTTAGGTGGATTTTTTGCACTTCTTAATATACTTAGCCGACTCTTTTTAGTCGGTCAACAATCCTTATCATCTTAATTAAGATGATACGTACTGGTTTAAACTTGGTTTTGACTAGAAATTAGAAATATTTTGAGTTAATTGTTGTTTGAATTTATAGTTGTTCATGCAATAAATTGGTTATAACTGTTGTAGATGATTCGTTTTTTTAATTTGAATGAAGGGTCATAGTCCATTATCAGACGGATGTTAGACGATAATTTTATGATGATGAGACGAAGAAGAGTTATGTCAAGAAAGTCTAAGAGGAATGTTCGGAAGAAGTCTTCCTTTTTCTGTTTCAAGGGTTTATCACTTATATGTACTGATGTCAGACATAAGTTAATCAATACTTAAATGTAGGCCAACCAAGTATATAAATACAGCCGTCAACTAGCAGATTTTACTCTGACAAATATGTTGAATTTATAGAAGATATTGTCAATGATTTTGAGTTGGTATGAGAACTTCATTTGTGGGAAGGTCCCTCTTGAGGTGGCCTTTGTAAGCAGGGAGGGGAGTTGCATCTCTAGAGGAGTTATATCTCCGGGGTATAACATTTTATTCTCTCATAGTCGAGGGAATCTCATAAAGTGATTTCACTCGAGATTCTATATAAAAAAGTCCTAAACATGAAAAAACACGATCAAAGGAGGAGAAATTTTAGTAATATCAAAAAGGAAGAATACAAGAGGATTTACGTTTTATCGTGACTTAACTTTTAACTCTAATCTCTAGTATCTACTTATATGAATAATTACTTGATACAAAAGAGATCTAAATAATAAGAGATTTACTTAAACTAGTTTCTTACTTTTAATCAACGTCCAATATTAGAAGTATAATCCAATTGTATCTACAGGAAAAGGAAAGAAGATCATCCAATGAAGATGCTAAGACTTTCTATCCAAGAATTACAAAGTTGATGAATTTATTGTGGTAGGATTGAATTCTAAATCCGACTAAACTTGCAGTCTGCAGGACATAACTTGAATTTGTAGAAATGAAACTTTTATAACAAATCAAATGGCAAGTACCTCCTCCATGTCATTGAATATTGAATTACAGGTTCCAAATTATCTGAATCTTAAATCAATAGCATAAAGAAATAACCTAATCCCAAAAGCAAGTCATGAGTAAATTTTCAACATAGACCTGCAGATTTCGACACGAACCTTCCAAGTGAAGGGAATGTCGACAAAAGTTAGGCAGAAGAATTGTTAATAAAACAAATATCCCATGTTCAAACAAGGGAACGGGTCTACTGCATATGGTACATTCGTTGCATACACAATTTACATATCATTCATCTTAATCCTACAGGCCTTAAAATTCCTTTTGGACTTTGGCCTAACTACTGCTGATTAGTGGAAGAAAAAGGTGTTTGCAATTTGCTCAACAACAGCCCCTCTTCTCTGCTATAAATATGGGATATTCTTTTTTTCTTATACAAACTGCCTCACTCTCCTTTACTCCTAAGTTTAAGTTATAGTTTGTTGCTTGCATTTTGTAGCAGAGACATGGGTTTCTCACTAAAATTTCAGTTTTGCCTCGTGTCAGTCATGGTGTTATTGCCTGCTCTGTGTATTTCTCAGGAGTATTTCGTGAAGTCCAGAGCTACGTACTATGGCAGTCCTGATTGTTTAGCGACTCCAAGTATGTACATTTCTTCTATAATAATACATATGCATGCTTTGTTTTATTACTAAATGTTTTCAGTTATGAACTAACAATCATGTCACTCTAGGTGGAGCATGTGGATTTGGAGAATATGGAAGAACTGTCAATGATGCCAATGTTGCTGGCGTTTCCAAGCTCTTCAAGAATGGAACAGGCTGTGGTAATTGCTATCAAGTAAATCTTCAAGACCCTTAAAATTTTTGGACTAATCAAATTAGCAAGTGGGTTGTTATTTTATGTCGGTCACTAATGACCCTTGATATTTGTTTGATGAAATAACCATCAGGTTAGGTGCACAAATCCTCAAATCTGTACTGATAATGGGGTGAAAATAGTGGTGACCGACTACGGTGAAGGCGACTACACCGATTTCATCCTCAGTACTCGTGCATACGTGATGATGGCACAATCAGACTTCGCTGCACATCTGTTTGCTTACGGCGTTGTTGATGTCGAATACCAAAGAATCTCCTGCCAGTACTTTGGTTACAAGCTGCAGGTCAAGATTAAAGAACATAGCAAATACCCAAATTACTTGGCCATTGTAATGTTGTACCAAGCTGGCAAAAATGAAATCCTTTCAGTTGATATTTGGCAGGTAATCAAAATGCTCTTACTTTATGCCAACAACCTCTGATGTTACATTGCTTTAAAAATGGAGTTGAAGTAATTTACTTTTTTGATGGTGATATGCAGGAGGATTGTAAAGAATGGATAGGGATGAGGAGGGCGTATGGGGCAGTTTTCGACACGGCGAATCCGCCATATGGAGCCATTACTTTAAGGTTCCAGGTGCGAGGTAGCGCCGGCTTGACATGGGTGCAGGCACCGAATGTTATTCCTAGTGATTGGAAATCAGGAGTTGCGTATGAAACGGATATTCAGCTTTATTAAACTACATCATAGTTGCACTTGTCGATTACTTTCTCAATTATAGTTGCTTTATTATTTTTATCATGCCGTTAAGTTAAGTGTGTTTATTTAAGGCAGAAAAGTGCTCAAAGTTGGTCTACTGCTGAAAATAAAAGTTGAGCGTGTTTGTAGTTTTTTCTTGATGTTTATTTCCTATATTGTAAAATTTAAGGTAAATTATATCACTTAATTATAAACTCATTTTTCTTTAACCATCAATCTTTTAATTTTGTTAATCATACAATTTAACCGTTAACATTTAACGAAAGTGTTGACTTGACAGTTAATAAAATTTATATAATTACACATTTGATTCTTAATATTTATATATTTTGTTGAGTCAATCGATCGAGGAATGTGGCCAAGAGGAGGTGAATTGACAATAAAAATTTGTTGGAAGCTTTAGAGAGAAATAGAAAAAATGACACAAGAATTGTAGAGTGGTTTAACTTCCTAAATGAATTCTACATCCACTACCTTAGCTTCTACACTAAGGATTTCAACAAATTCACTAATTTGTTCTATACTTTTAGGACAATGTGTAACCTTACAAAACACTAAGACTTATACCCCAAAGTCTTAAGTGCACAACCCTTCTTAAGAAGAAATTATATATAAGCAAACTTTGAATATCCTCACAATGATGTATTGTTTGCAACTTGAAGCTCTCTCACACACCCAAAAACATTAGAATAAGAATGATAATGAATATAATAATGTTCAATGAAAGAAGATTAAATTGAATACAAATTTGACTCTATTTGATCTTTGATTGTTGGAATAGTTTTCTTGTATTTTGTTAGTTGTTTGAAGATCTATTTTATATGCTCTCATTGATTTCTAATCGTTTGAGGTTGTTGAAGAAAGTTTGGAGTCATTTGAAGTATTAAATTCGCGCATTAAAAGCAACATGCACAAGAAGTTTCGAAACTTTAAGGAAAGTTTCAAAACTCTTCGAAAATATAAATAAATTTTTTGAATGTTGGAACTGTAAGTTTTGAAACTATTGATAAGTTTCGAAACTTCTGAGCATCCTGTTTTTTAAAGTTTCGAAACATATATGAGTTTTGAAACTATCGGTCAAAGCTTGATTAAAATTGTGAGTTTTTATATTTTGAGAAAAATGTAACTTTAAAAAATAATCTAAAATGTTTGAGTGATTTTTTTGACGTATTTTGGACTTAGAAAACTTATTTTAAAGTTTGGAAAAATTATATATATATATATATATATATATATATATATATCAAAATCATTTATGTTTATCATATTTTATAAATTTAATCTTAATTTTAATTCAATTCAATAATTTTAATTTAATTCAATAAATTAATTATCGTGTCAACATTTCCATTAAATGTTAATTGCTAGTGACTTGATTGATAATAATTAAATAGTTAGATGATCTGATTGACTAAATTAAAAGATCGAAAGTTAAAGTAAAAGGGCTTATAGTTAAGTGGTCATTGATATACTTTACCCTAAATTTTATTTTTTCGAACATATAATAATATAACTTGGCCTAACAATTTTATTAACAACATATGTAATTAGTATATACGAATAGTTTGGGATGAAATTGAAATATTCAAAAAGTTTAGGGATCAATTTAGAATAAACTCATAGTTTGAGGATAAAATTGAAATGTTGAAAAGTTTAAGGTCATTTAAAATAATAATTATAGTTTAGGAATGTAATTGGAACATTTAAAAGCTTAGAAACCAATTTAAAATAAAGCTCATACTTTGAGGACATGTGATGCAATTAACTCTATTAAGGAATACAATTAAAGTTTAGTTAACCACACAAAATAGTTATTAGCCTTGCAATACGCAGAAGATAATCTGCACTTTTCCAACTCTACATTGCAAATATACCCAAAAACAAGAACATTTCAAGAGGAAAATTTATAAATTTGCATTCTTTTTTCTCAAAATTGTCTGCAAGAAATAAACCTGACAATATCAATACAAATACAGGACAAGAGAAAATAATAATAATAATATAAACACACTACCACAAATTTTTGAAATCTACAAAATACGAAATATTAGCATACCGAAATTTATAAAAATTAAAATAGCTTAAACACATTTATGACAGTAAAAAAATTCATGAACATAATGACACCCAAATTGTCATGTAGTACATCGATATCATTGCATGGCACCTAATACAGGTTTATGTGATCAAGACTGCAATTAACTAAAACTTCATTATATAATTACTAGAAGCATTTTGCCGAACCGTTCGATTACTCTACGAACGGTTCTGAAAAACAAAATCATAAATTGTTTCCTCAAAATTGATCCCAAGCAATGAGGGATGTCATGGATGATTGATTTGGTGTTCTCAACTACAAAATTTAAGCAGCAACATGAAGCTTAGAGTAAAGCATCCGAATACTACGAGTCTACAATGCCTACAAAAACATGCAGCAGAAACATTAGTAGCTGGTAAACATGAGGTGTTTTAGCAAAGCATCCATATGCCCTGGACTAATAAAGCTGAGTAAAACACTGCATTAAAATTGTATCAAACCTAAATCCACAAGATCTGCAAAGTGAAGACTGAAGCATGCAATAAATTAAGAGGATGTGAGGGGAAAATACACGTACGGTGAAAAAGTTCAGGGCTCCTTTAGGAATCCAAGCAAGTTTTTTTTTCCAGGCAGGCTTTAATACAGCCTACCAGTACACTCAGAAGAACCACAGTAGCATTTTCTGCTTTATGTTACCATTCTCATCTCGAACCTGATCTATCATATAATTGTAGTGATATGTCAACTCTTGCAAGGGAGGGATATTCTCAGCAGCAAAGAACATTATGTGCGGGATTCTCATGTCTTCATGGTCATAAAGGACATTTTGTGCATACAGATTAGGTGAACAACTATGGTTTATGAATCTCCCAATATTGCCATACCGTGCTGCATCGATGGTGAAACCACTGTCCTGTACAACTTGGCAAGAACTTGAAAGTGCATCGGGCATTATGGTTGAAAGACCATCCCAGAGAGAACTGTCATTGTTATTTCCAATATCAAACAGATACTCATCACTACCTTTTCTTTCTTCAGCTTCCCTGTCTTCGAGGAGCTCTCCAGCATACTCACAGATAAAACTTCCAGAAGGGATAGAATTTGGGGATCTAACACCCCAGCCTCTTGATTCAGTTTTAAAGATTTCAAGCTGAAATTTTATGCCATGTTGGCTGACTCTATTATGGCAAGAAGCAGGACAACTGCAATTAGGACCACATTCATAGACAAGGGGCTTTGCTTCAACAATGGCCCCATTATGGTTGTACGGAATCTCTCCTCCATTCTTCATAACACAGGAACAATTCCCTGATTCTGAACATCCATTAATACAACCACAACCTTTGGGAGGAATAGGGCGGCACCAGTCAGGGTAGATCATGTGAGGTTCATACACAAATGATGGGGGGGTTTCACCAGCTATGGTGTTTATAGCACAAATTGGAGTTTTCTCCTTCCGTTGTGAAATATCATTTACGCAGATCCCCTCCCGCGCCTTAGATTTCTTTACAACTTTCCAAGCAAGCTCCGGTTGACCCGGAATTCTGACTAGCTTATATTTGAAGACCAGCTTACCATGTGGTCCTGGTTCTTGCTTAAACTCCTCCACCAAGTAAAGTCCATCATAAACATATGTCTTACCTCTACTTTCCAACAAAGTAGACGACGACCTTGTTTCACCACGAATCACCCTTACCGGATTCTTAATAACTTTGCTATTGGCCAAAGCAAGGTTTCCTCTTTCAAGCTTTTGGTCCTCTGGTTGTTTACCTTTCTGCATCACATTTCCACCTTGGCCCATGTAACTCAAGACATCTGAACTATCCAAATCATTCTCATAGCCCCCCGCAGCTATGATACTGGTAGCAATAATCTTTTCACCTCGTTTTAAATAATCTATACCACCCTGACTCTGGCGGTGAAGGCCAACAATATTGAGCTCAACAAAATACTGAAACTCATCACCAACTTCAACTCCCGGAACAGTTCCTATGATCTGTTTGCCAGTGTTAACATATTTCCCTTTTTCTTTGAGAATTTTTGCAGCTAGGATATCTATCCTCTTACTAGCCTTTCCTTGTTCCTTCATCTTTGATTCTTCTTCCTGTAAGAGCTTCCGAAAGATGGCTTGGAATAAGCGTAAAGTCTCTCGCACTTTGTTTCGAGTAGTCATTGCATCATTATTATGATCTGTACTATTTGGGCAAGGAGGAAGACTCACATCATAACTGCATGATCTCTGAGCAGCAAAATTATCATTTGTGGATTGCTCATCCTGCTGCAACGAGTCTTCCTTGTTCCAAACAATGACCTGACCACGACTTTTACGAGCCCTTTTCTTGGAAGAACTCTTCTTGGTATTTGCTTGTGGTGGTGGCAATAGAGAATTGCTCTCTTTTTTTCTTTTTAATGAACCACCAGCCAGGTCAGGTTTGCAGGTGACTTTCCCTTGTCGACAAGGGACATTTGATAAAATTTCTTGACTCCTGGGTTTCCCCTCCAGCAATTGATCCTCAAAAGAAGACGAATCAGGAAGCTTTTCCTCCAAACTGTTTTCCTCTTTATAGATGACAATGTGACCATCCTCTAGCAATTGATCCTCAAAAGATGATGAATCAGGAAGCTTTTTCTCAAAACTATTGCCCCCTTCATAGACAACAATATCAAGAATAGGGTTTTCCTCCAACCCTGTAGCATATACATCCCCTGTCTCAGTTAATTTCTCCGAGATCCTATCAAATTCATTTGGAAAAGCTTCACAAGAAGGTTTGATGCTGTTCTTACTCTCCATATTGTTGCAGGAATAAGCTTCATATGCACCTTGCTTTTCCATTTTTTCAGAAGCTGGCTCTTCAGGTTTAGAATGAATACCTTCAACAGAGTTCCGATCAAATTCATTAGGAAAAGCTTCACAAGAAGGTGTTATGCTGTTTTTACTCATA